CATAAGCAAAATTAATAGCTCCCAGTAATAAAAAATGAATGAACTTTTCAGTACCATCATTCACATTTCATTCTTTCCATCATAATGAACTGATAAGATTTCAGTTCATTATATTGATAGATATGAAGATGTCAGATAGGAATTTCTGAAGCTAAATCTAATTGATACTTGATGCAAATTGATTTGACTGGCGCTTTGCTCTTGACCTATCAAAAACTCTAATGAAGGACATTCCTTTTCTAAAGTAGAACATTATCGTATGATTATTAAGTGGATGGCACCTTTTTTGCAAACCATTGGTTGTGTAACATGCCCTTGATAGTGTAAAGAGATTTTTGAAGGAGATAGCAGTTGAAGAAGAATGGAATCTGTTAGTCCTCCTTGTCCTTGTAAACAGCTGTCTATTGTAATCAACTGCACCTCATAACAAGAACAATGTATTTCTTCTAGAGTTCACAAGTACGGGACTTAATTTGCAGCCCTCTGTCGTACATGGAGGCGTCTAAATATATAATGAAAATATTCAAAGGGACGTAAAACAAAATTATAAACAATCAAACTAGATTTTAGTTGAGATCTTAAGAATTTTCGTCAAATGGCTACGGCATTGTCTGTGTGCTTCCCACTTTTTGTTTTTGTTCTACTTTAGATTGGAATCGGAGAAACATAAGAATTTGAAGCTAAGAAAAACAGAAACCACTGACAGATAAATAAGTCGGAGCAAACAAAAACATTTGCGTAATAACTAAACGCTGTGACCTTTTTTTTGTTTTCAGGGAAATAATTTTTGTTTTCAGTCTAAAGAATATCGATCGAAGGGCAGTAAAAGTGTAAAACGGGGCTTCAACATGTGCATAAAAACAAAAGCAGATTCAGCGTAATAGCAAAGCAATTCAAACCTAATTCAAAACATTCATAATTTTTTGGGTTATTTATCAGAAAGAATTTATGTTTTTTGCCTTATCTATATGTGTCGTTAAAATATCTCAAAATATGAAAAAAAGTTTAATTTTACATTTCAGGGATATATAATGTATATTACATGCAAAATTCATAGAAACGCAAAACGGTCCTATGTTTCCATATATGTTTGCCTCAACTCAATTTGCATCAAAGTTAAGAAAAATAGATACTTAAAAGACGAATGTCAATTCATTTTGCATATGAAAATATCAGACCAATGTTAATTCGATATTTTTTTCAAATAAAAGTAGCAAAAAATCAATGAAACTGAAGGAAAGTCATTAAAAAATAAGATGATCTTGCCATTTAGGTTCATGTTAACAATCAATAATCGTGTTGTGTAGACAAAAGCAAAATAAAAGCCTTCAAGATAAAAAAAAAAAGATTAAGAACTTTGAGTATCATGAAAAAATACTGAGTGAAGTTTCAGTATCATCATTCACATTTTCATGCTTTCCATTACAATGATCTTATAAGATTTCAGATCATTCAACTGATAGGTATATAGATGTCAGATAAGAATTTATCAAGCTATATCTTGTTGATACTTGATTCAAATTAATTTGATTGGATATTTGTCCTTGACCTGTCAAAAATTATAATGGGCATACCCTTTTCTAAAGTAGAACTTTATCTCAAGCCACTAAATGGATGGCACCTTCTACATACCACTGGTCGTGTATCGTGGCCTTGATTCTGAAAGGAGATTTATAAAGGAGATAACATTAAAAATAATGGAATTTGTTAGTCCCCTTGTCTTTGTAAACAGTTGTCTATACTGAACAACTGCCCTCATAGCAAGAACAATAAATTTCATCAAGAGTTCACCATGTGCATTTTAATTTGTTTTGTCTAAATTGTGCGGTGTTATTCCCAAGTTATTTTAACATACTTCGCTGAACTCAGAATCTGTATCTTATTAAAACATAATACGTTCATTAACAAAAACAGCGGCTTGTATCTAGTTTTGACACATGAGTTTAAAGTTTCTAAATTGTTAACTGTTGAAGTATAACTAGAAGCAAACGCACCTTAATGATCGTACATAACTCAGGGTATATAAAAAGTTTATAATTTTGATATATTTTTTTAAATCTGCTTTAAATTCATTCTATGCTGTATTTAACAATGAACTTGCACATACGTGTAACATATATTATGTTCATATGAATTACAAAATGTAGTTATGTGAAAAACAAACATTCTGAAAATGTGGTTTAAAAGACTTTTCACATATTTTGATAGTCCTTTATGGAAAAATCTTGTCAGAAAGTTCAGTTCATTGAAGAAATCTGTAAAATACAGAATACGATTCTTTTTGTTATGACACCTCTAAATCATGCGTCTATTAATACAAAACATTATGATTAGATATAAGAATTCCGGATAGATATGAGTATGAATCCGCAGTGATTCGCCCGGATTACCCCGCTGCGCCTGTCAGTAACCTTCCGCTGCGTGGTTGGCATTTTTTCCTCTGGTGAACTTATGTTTTCTTTATATTCCTGCATAATTAAAAAGAACAACGACCCTTTGCTTTTAACATAGACACCAAAAACATGACGTTCACTTTGCATAAGTTACCCCAGCATGGTATTTGCGTAAAGATCTATTCTCTGTTCAATATCACTTTATTGAAAACCTCGCATATATGACACTTGATGAAAAAGGATATGAGACATTTATTTTTGTAAATACCACTTATAATCTTTTTTTGCAAGACATAAAAGTACAAAAAATAATAATAACAGTTGCAGATATTTGAATATTTTTAAAATGCTTTTAAGTCCATCTGCTTGATAAAAAAATAAAAGAAAACTTAGATAAAAATACTTACTAAGAATAACTCCTTCTTTATGTAAAGGTATATAATGTAAAAAGCGATGGTAACAAAAACCAACTGATCTTAAAAAATTAACAAACAATACAAATCTATGATGAGGCATACAAACAGACATTCGGAAACTTCAGAGCTGGATCAGGTGTTTTTATATATCAACCTACATTCTGAGATAAAAACACACTATTTAATTTTAATTAGCAGCTTTCATTCAGTAGTGTTAAAATACATTTCATATTGCCTGCAGTCTAGAACTAGATAATGCAGATGTCCGTTCAACAAAGTTATTAAAGTGTTATACAAAATAAGAGATAATGAAATATTTCTTTCTAAGAAGAAATCCTAGAAATTCTATTCTCAAGACAATGAAAGCAGAGTGAGCTTGCATCTTTTTCTGGCTTTCGTCAATACTAAGTAGGCAGCTTAAAGGAGCGAACACATTTTCATACGTCATGCATATTCTAACAGATAGGTCAAGAATTCTGATCCTCTAGTGGTCGCATTTGATATGCCTTCGTTTGTTTTTGATGACAGGTTGTCAACATTAGTACGTATAGGGGATTTTTCAAGTTCAGGAACCTCCAAGACACCAGGAAAAGTTCATCAGTGTGTAGGAGTTATAAAATATCCGAACTTTGTTCTGATATTCTATTTTATCAAGGACCCTCTCTACACCAGTGCAAAATATTTTTTAGACATTGGGAAAAATTTATTGCATAAAGGAGTTAATATTGTGCGTATCTATATAATTTTCAATGTATGGTGCGTGGCATTTACCCCCGGGAAAAATGTTCAAAGACAACACAGTATCAGTGAATAGATATCACTGTTAATTACTTCAAATAGAGAAAATACGTGTAAATAACACGTTCCGTTAATTTATACTGGCCTTTAAAAATGTTGAGAATACTTGAATTGATTACAAATTCAGTAATATTGTGTAAATTCCTATTTTTTTTAGAATTTAGTTCTAAGGGCAGATCACTCTAACTGCAGAAAAATACCTTAGAATCAGAACTCTTTAGTGTGCAGTGTAGAGAGGTTTCTTCAGCTAGTGTAAAGTGCCAAGAGATATTTCATAGAGTTTTGAGAATATTTTAAAAGTAACGTCAAGCTAGCGGAATAATACGTTCTTGACGTTATTAATTGTGACGTAGGCAACTTATGTTATATGATATAGACTAAATCTTTTATCCAATCAAATGACGTGTAACGACCAAAATTTAATTATAGGAGGACATTCTTTTTAAAAATTCTAGTTATTCTTAAATAATCAAATAAAAGAGTGTACTATTTCTTACATCGTAAGAGTTTTAATGAGAATTTTGTTGATGATTTAAAATAAAAACATACTTGAGGTAAAAAAAAATAATTGCAGACATATGGTCTTAATATGTATGAAAATTCTCGAACAGGTTCAGACAAGATATCTACTTTTCTAATATTGAGCATGATTGGGAAATGATCAGTATTTCAAACATATAATAAGCATTCAAGGAATTCCGCTACGACTCTTCTCAGATATCTATTATTTAAGCATAACTGCAATGTTTATTGCGAAATTTATTACTTTTTAACCTTGTGTCTTAACGCACATGAGTGCAATGCAAAATTTATCATAGAAAAATTTATATTCAAAGTACATATGTATGAAATTGTAAATATAACAAAATCATATCAGTAAGCTTATCATTAAGAAAACATACATCTATTTTACGAATTTTACGAATGTTTCAGGCATAGTCTCACTGACACAAACAAATGTATTGAATTCGTCTGTTTAATCCAATGTAACATTCAAGTTTCGAGATGCATATACATCTTTTTGTTACAGAAGATTAACTTTTTTTTCAATTTTAGGAAATCGTACATTAGAAAACAAACTCTAGTTTAAGGCTTTTCCAGCGTTATTTTTTTTACTTTCTGTTTTTGATACTATAGTATATCTTGTTGTGTTTTTCGAAATCTTGCAAAATACGATCTAAACTTAAAGCTCCTTTCTAATCAATTCAATTGTTTAAATATGTTGCCTAGTCCGGAATGTTGGATAGTATGACCGATTTCCTTGAAACAACTGTCCAGATTTAACAAGTTTAAGTTTATATGGTCAAAAATATATATCCATAAGCCACTTAGTTGTCCCCTAGAAAATATATAAATAATTTCAACTGTTTAATATGAAATATTATAATTTCAGGTGACTCTTCATGCCACGTGCTTCACCCTGACTGCCTTGACGATAGACAGATACCACGCCATTGTCAACGCCGTCAGCTCAATGAACTGGCGCTCACGCCGGACCTCTACTATTGTTAGTCTGATGGTCTGGGCAGGTATATTTGTCCGTATGTCTGTCTGTAGTGAAATACCGCAACACCGCTTGTTCTTTTATATGTGAAAAGTATATTGTAACTTATAATTCTTGAAGGACATCTGATCATTTAATGTTCCTTTTGGGGATTTCACAATGAATACATGTATTACACTTGGGATGACTACTGTAAACCAACTATTATTCACGTCAAGTTTTATTCTCGATTCGTCGATTAAAATCAATCTGCGAGGATTAATTTTCGCGACGGAGGAAACATTCTCAACAAATACATGCAAAATAAATGGTTCGCGGCGATTAATATTCGCGAGTTAGAATAGGTCGCGAAACTCGCAAATATTTCTCTTACGCGAATAAAAGCTTGTTTACAGTATTTATTGTAATAGCAGAGAATACTTAAATCAATAAGCATAAAACATACAGTTTCATAGAATTACATGTATTTTAAGAATGATACCATTTAAGATAGGATTAACAAATCGCCATCTGGAATACAAGATGTATGAATCAATGTTATATGCAAACTCTTAACAATAACAATCACTGTAAGTAAAATCAGAAATCATTAACAAAAAGCCGTTAATTACAATTTAAGCAATAACAAACAACAAATAATAATGAAAATAACAACAAAACTTAAATATTTAAAGACTTTGAGGTGTCGCTGCTCAATGGAACAATAACAAATAAGTGATCGTATGGAATCAGATTTTGCCTGCGTAGACAGTTGGCCTGCATGGCGTTTTATCGGAAATTGGCCATATTAGGTTAGTTCGAGTTTATAGATCAAGAGAGAGAAAGGTGCACAAAACATCACTTTTAAGAAGACAAAAACCGCTAGAATTTTCTTTGAAACCAAATTATGCAAAATTAGGTTCTCTAGTAAAAACAAACGGATTGGTGGCAAGTTTTATATAAAGAACATTAAACGTTATTTCAAAGAGCCATATCATCTTTATGTGTCATAATCAAAATTTTATATGAAAATTAATAAGTAGGATTCGCTTTTCGCCTTCATTTTCTTTCACCTCATTTATTTTTGCATTTAATATAAAAAATAACAATGCTTATTTGATGTTTTAATGTGATCCATAATATGTCTTGCTTTGTCATTTTCACAGAGATGAATGAAGAAAAATACATAAAAGAAATGCAAATTATGCATTGATTAATGACATGCAAAAATCTTTATTCCTGTTTCAACTTCCGCTTTCCCTGACGATTTTTAATGGTCTTTAAAAAGAAAAATTGGGAAAGATCGCCTCCGCTGGGCCTAATATGAATTTTATGATGATAAAAACCATAGATTTTCCCAGTAAAATCAATTGTTATTTTGCATTTCTACTCTAGGATTCTCCCTTCATGGAAATAAAAATGAGACATAATTAAATTCGAATTTGATAAAGTGATTCTTTGTATGCCTTTACGTGAACTTCCATATTTCAAACGTTCAGGGAATGCCATACATGTTAATATGATGTGTCTCTAGATACGAATATTTTTTTCTTTAATTGGAACAGAAGGTATTATGCTCGATGGTAATAATGTTCTTCAATTGGATTGAAAGAATAAGCAACAGGCAATCCTTTAAAAATACATTTGAAGATCTATTTTCATCACCATTTGAGTACTATTATTGCCAAATTTCCTTTTCATATTCTAGCAGAAGTCAATATGCATGTTGATGAAATCCCCTTAGATTCCCAATATGGTTACAAGTTCTTTGGGAACAAATGCAGCGAGATTTTTTCAAATCTTCAAGAAAGAGAAAATTACAATGCGACATAAAATAGAACTGTGTTATTTATATATTTAAAAGACAGAAAGCCTGAAAATCAATGCGTTCCCTAGGGTACACTATGATGCACACGACACATGATCCCAACTTTGAGTTCCTTGGTTTTCTTACCCTTTACAATTTGCACTGTTTGATTGGGCATTTGAGCACGATAATTGTTCATTATCTTCACATTTTATTCAGACATTTAGAAATAAGTCAGAAAGGTAATCAGTCAATTGATAAATACGAGGGCCGCAATGGAATTGAATCGCCTTCAATCAATTAACACTTCGGCACCTCCAATGAAACCCTGGCATTAAAAGCGACATATTCGTTAATAGAAAGGCAGGCAATTTGAAGAGGTTAATAATGTCACATTAACACACTAGAATACATAAAATGTTCCTCCTCACATACATTGGGATGGTTGAAATATTCCTGTAGTTTCCCAACGAGAAAATCACAGTTAAGGGACACCGACCCTCAGCCAGGAAGGACAACTCTTTAATTCATAATTTAATTCAAAAAGTCTTTAATTAAATATTTTCATAAAATTTTCATTATATGCCTCTCAATGTGCTCCAAGGTTCTTTGCAAAGCTCCATAATTCACTTCTAATTTCATATCATGTTAATAAACATTGGTATCTAAAAATGCTTTTTCGGAATAAAAAATTCTACTTTTAATTAAGCCTTTCTGAGAAGTTTAAAGAACCTTGAAGCTCACTGAGAGGCATATAATGAAAATTGTTGCATGAAAAGATTTAAATTTCAAGCTTCATTTTGAGACTTTTTAAATTATAAATTAAAGAGTTAAATATTTCCCGGTCAAAAACTCGTAAATTTGAAACAAATCCTTTTATTTTCTTTTTTTCTAAACATGGAGTAGACACCAATCATATCAATTTTAATGGAAATCATCATCAAAATTATTCACCCATCTTAACTTTCAGTTCACTCTAAAGATTTTTTTTTCTGATTACGAGACTTATTCATATACTTGGATACTGTAATAAAGAATTATTTATTAATTTATGCCTTAAACAAAATATGAAAAGATACATTTTAAAAACTTCCATGTCTTATACAAAATAACAGAAGATAAATTTCAAAACAGTTTTTTTTCTCTATTTTCAGTTTCCTTTCTTATATCAATCCCTTTCGCCATGTACCACAAGGAAGATATTCAGCAGAATAAACTCTTCTGTGTCCCGGCCTGGGGTGACGAGGAAAAGGACAAGCTGGTGTCCCTCATTGTGATTTTCACGACCTACGTCAACCCCCTGGGAATCATTGTCGTCTGCTACACACAGATTCTGAGGAACCTCTGGACCAGGAACAGACACTCGTACATGCCCAGTATCAAAACTGAGGTGATTTTTCTCAATCTTCCACAGGCATGTAGCATTTTTATTTTGATTTCTTTACTTTTTTGCTTTCTATATAATTAATTTATTGGCTTAGCTTTAAGTAATAATTGTTTGCACTATGCATAAAAGTATGTTTGCCCTGTGCATTAATAGACATTCAAAGATGATACATTTTGCTCAATTTATTTTTCATCTGTATGAAAAATTCATTATTGTGAAGGCATTTGCGATTCAGTGATATTCAGATTCAGATTTACCTTTTTTCTCTCTCTCCTTTACACACACTTCAAGAAAATCTGTAGATTGACTTATTGATTGTTATGTTTATATTTCAATATATATTTTAAGCATAAATTCTTTCTTGGGTCATCTTTGGGAGCATATTAGAAATTCGACATATTTGACCAATTTTTGTTTTACGCGTTAAAGGGTTTGGAAATGCTTTCTTGGGTCAATATAAAATCCTTTCACAAAATAATTTTCATTATTTATTAACTTTCAAAATTTGCCATTGCAGTTGTTGTTTTAGCGTAGGATTCATTATTTTATAGCGCAGAAATATGGTAAAAAGTTTATTTAACAGCTTTCTCTGTAACACTTAGCCTTATTTGGATATAGCCCAATCATATTTCAATCAAAATTTAGTCGCAAGGTGTTTCGGTTGCCTTGGTAATGGCGAGGTATATTTAAGATTTTTCCCTACTTTGAATAAAGTCTTTCAGACCAAATAAACCGCTTCCCCCAAAAAACGCATTGGCCATTTTGCTGTAAAGAAATATATTTATAAGTCTCTGTTAACCATTTAATAAATACAACTGGAATTGCATCATAGGGGCTTTGACTCATATGTAATGACAATGTCTTCTAATATCATTACTTATTATTTTCTAGAGCATTGAAGACCGATATATTATATAAGACTTTATGAAAAAATAAAAGTACTACAATTTCAGGTTCCTTTTACTTAACAGACATCCTTACCCTTTCTAATAGCATTATTATATTTTTAATATCAAAAAAAGAATAGAAAAAAATTGTTCTGATTAGTAAAAATTTTGAAAATTCTTATCTGGAAAACTAAATATAAAATTGAGTACACCAGCAATGTAAGTTCGTGCTATGAGTTAAATTGAACTCACTTGATAAAACAAAAACATTTTCAACAAAGTTAACATCGTGGTAACCACTTTCTAAAATATCCATGTTTGCTCTAACGATTTAGAATAAATGGATTTTAAATTTTCAAGAACGTGCATGTTAGCCGTTATTTTCCGATCATGACAAGGAGCACAAGGCGGGTGTGCCTGGTTGGCAGGGGATGCTCACCCCTCCATGGCACCTAATCCGTCTTCCGATGTTTTGGAGGTCCATGTTTGCTCTGCTTTTGTGTTGTTTTATGGACCTTTACTTTTGAATACTGTTCCTTAATTCCATATGTTTCATCAGTTTATTTTATGATAGTGAAATATTCATTATTTTTAAGTGAAATTGTAAAACGTCATTGAAACTGTGTCAACCTGAGATGAGTAATGAGTTTTATGTCTCATAGCTGATATGATACGAAAGAGCACGCTCTACATACGAACATTTTCTAAAACGAGGCAGGCTATTTAAAAACAAGTCTATGACACAATATTTTCAACATTTTTGTTTAGATTCATTATTTTGCAAAGTCTACGCTCGATACAATGTTAGAGAATGTTTTAGTTAGACAATTATTATGACAAGGAGCACGCGGTGGGTGTGACTGTTCGTTAGCGGATGTTCACTCCCCCAAGGTACTCTATTCCACCTCTGATATTTAGAGGTCCGTGTTTGCTCTGCTCCTGATTTGTACTGTTTTAGGTACATGAGATAGAATACGGTTCGATATACCCATATTTCAAAAATTCACTAATTGGATTACGAACATGTTCAAAAATGAATCTTTTTGGGTATGTTGCCATAGTTACCCCTACCCATAACATAATATTACAGCAACTAATTTACATGTATATTTTTAGGAACTTTTATAAGTTTTTGATATTAGATATTTTTATTTATCAGTCTAATCGTTTGCAGAAATTCAGATACAAAGCATGCCTCGGCTTTGCTTAAGGTGTTGTGTTTTAAATAGCTTCATTAAAGCAATGAAATTTTAATGGGCATAAGTTTACTTTGCATTAGCTGTCACGTTAACGCAATTAAATACACATTAGATTAGGCCAAGCTATTGAGCTTCCCATTAATTTACTGCAAATGAAATATTTAATGCAAATTAATGCAAATAGATCATAAAATTCATTTGTTTACAAAGAAAATCAAATATTTTTCTTAGGTTTACAATTGCTGCTTTGCAAATATATTTCAAATCAAGCATATCTACAGATGTAGTACTGTAAACCAGTTTAAGGTAATTTTGGTAAAAAAAAAAAACTAATCAATTTACTATGCAGATTCAAATCTTTGTTTTGAAAGCTTCCTTTTTGTACATTTAAGCTACAATTTTATAAATAATCTGCCCTAACGTCTTTGAATGTACGTCTTTTGTTACCAGTGAATTTTTGTAATACCTTAAATAATAACGTTAACTTCTATTTGGCACTTGCTTAAGTACAGTAAACAGAGTTTTAAGTGTATTAACATGGAAATTAAAATAGCTTTAAACAATGCCAAATCCATGGAGAGAAAAAAAAACAACAGTAAAGCAAAGTTAACCCACACATAAAGAAAAAAACGTAACAAAGAATACTTGCTATAATTCTGAAATAAACACAGCTCTGGCTACATATGTTCAATCACCAAGTTCAAGAACAATAAGTTTTTCTTTATATAAGATTTTTAGATACACCATTACTTGTATTAATCATTTATCACAACTACTTGGGAAGGCAAAAGGCTTGAATTTCCAACTCTGTTATTTATATAAACCTTTATTTGTTCCGCCGATCAAGCAATTGCCAAGAAAAAAACAAGGAATAAATATCCCATCAGCGATGGAGTTTCTATCATGCATACTGTGAAAGAAGGCTTGCTTTAGAATAAATATACAATTAATTGATATAAGATTGAAAAGAATACTAACTTTTACTAAGCCAAGATGATTAATAGAGACAAAAACCCTTTTGTATTTGTTTAAGAGAGAGATGTATGTCTACTATTCTTGTTAGCCAAGGTTTAAAATCCTGCGGATGTAATACCACCTTCTTTTTGGTAACCGACCATAGTATTTACAAACGGTTTTAGAGATTGCTTATGGTCATACATTCATATGGCTTGATTTGTATGGCTTTTTTAAATGGTCCCTTGGAAAATTGCTTGGATGTTTAACGCCCCTTCGAGAATTTTTCACTCAAATTAAGAAATTAAGAAGCCCAAACTTACCAATGAAGGGATGCATATTTATACATGTTCTCGGCAGTTATGCCTTTTTAGCAGTGAGGGTTTTTTTTAAATCGTGTTAGTACCTACTTCTAGACAATAACTCGATTTTCACATTCTTATCTGAAGGAAAGGCCTCAACGTCACGAAGTGGGAACTTCTTAGTCTGTGACGCTTGAGCAAACGCTCTACCACTACGCCAAGTGGGCGAATCATACGGCTTGCGTATTCGTACGAAACTTACTTCATCAGATTAGTTTTTTTTTTAAATATTAAACGCGAAAGAATTTGACACAAATAAAGGAATCCCCTTTGTATTCATTTATATACGTTATAATAATGCAAATTTGCTTTAATTTACAAAATAATGCAATTTCCAGCACATTAGACAAATCGGAATTCTAAAAAAAAAATGATATAATATTATTCAAATACAACCTGCATTTAAATTTTAGAAATGATAGGCTATTTGGGATCTTACAATTTCCAAAATTAATATAACAATTGACAAATTATGCAGTAATTGATTTACAATCAAGAATTTTAAGCTTTACGTGAAGGATATGGAGATAACGAACAGTATTCAATATCAAAGTCCATAAAACAATACAAAACAGGAGCAGAGCAAACACGGACCTCCAAAACATCAGAGGTGGGATCAGGTGCCATGGAAGAGTTTGCAGCCCCTGCCGACTGGTCACAACCGCTGTATGCTCCTTATCATGATCGGGAAACAACGGAAAATTCAGTGCATAAATAATGGACTAACAACTATTATGAAAAACGTCAGTCAGCATTTGACTGAAAGATAAATTGTATTTGCTGACAAGGTCATGTTATCGATCACAGAACTTACGAAATGATGACTTTAAACGAGAAATATATGGAGATAACAAGTTCAAAAGTCCATAAAACAACACAAATTGGAACAGAGCAAACACGGACCTCCAAAACATCAGAGGTGGGACCAGGTGCCAAGGAGGAGTATGGAAAAACATATTTTGAATATTGAACCTGTTTACTTTCTATAAAACTGCAGTAGAAAGTTGATATATTATATGATTCAGTTGTTTAATATTCAGAATCTGGTTAGTTTTGCTTTCGCCTAAATGTGTCTAAAATAACTAACTATTTATGTTGCTTATTTTTGTGCTATGTTCCAAAGTGTTCGATATATCTTACTTCAACCTAAATATGAATTGAATTAATTTTTAATAACTATTGATATTTATGGTTTAGAAGATTCATGTAATGAATTGCTTTGAAATAACTCATCGTTCTCTTTTTATATTGATTCACAGGATGATTTAAACAGTAGTATCCCATTGTCAAGAAGATCGCAAACGAGGCGTAGGGGGAAAGTTACCCGGATGGTCTTTATTGTGGTTCTGTTGTTTGCAGTATGTTGGCTTCCAGTTCATATATTTCAATTAATTCGAATATTTAACCCAAACTTCCCTAGGACAACATCAGTCTATGTGCTCAAAATGATCAGTCACACATTATCCTACGCCAATTCGGTCGTAAATCCATTTGTTTACGCTTTCCTCAACGACGGATTCCGGAAAGCGTTTAGGCGAACCTTTCCGTTTGTCAGTAATTACTGTCCCTGTGCTCAGCTCCATGTGGAGGGAAACAGCAATGCCTCAGACATGGTGGACCGATGCATTCAAACACGTGTTGGTGAATGTCAAGACGAGAACGGGAATGGAGGAACAGAAATAGTCTCCATGTCGCACGTGTCCGAATATAAAAACTCGATCCCCATGGTGATATTACCAAGGACAATTCCGTCTGATATTGAAGAAAGAAGTGGGAGTGAGCAAGAAAGTAAATGACAGCTTTTTTTTCGATGAAAAAAAAACAGCTTTTTTTCTCGATGGAAAAAAATCTTGCATCACTCTTGACGTGTGAACGGACATTATTCTACGAATCCCATCCTTGCATCTACCAGAAAAGTAGCCTACAGAGAGTTTTTACACTCTAAGTCTTACATATGAAGGATTGCCAAAGAAATAATGGAAATTATTGCATTGGGCGTCATTTTTTATGTAAACTGTAACATTAAAATCATTGTTGAGGATGATTTATGAATAAAAGAAAAAATGAAGGACAGTTTATACTGAAAATCATTTTCTTTTTGGCTTTCTTTGTCGACAATATCGTGTAAATGCTTAAAATCTTCAAAGTGTTTGAAGCAGATACTTGATTTAATGTTCTTTTTATTACTTAGAATTGCCAAAGAAATGATGGAAAATTGCACTGGGCATTAATTTTCTAGGTGCAATTTATCTATTCAAGTCATTTGTGAAAATGATACATGAATACGATGGAATGAAATGTGTTTTATATTGAATGACCTTTTCTTTTTTGGCATTCTTATATATCGAGAAAACCCTATAAACACCAAAAATCATCAAAGAGAATTGTAACGGGTTCTAATAACTAGATTATTTTACTTTTCCTTTCAAATTGACATTATGTTGTCTTAAAATATTATTAACTCTTTAAACGAATTTTTACGCAAAGATTTCTTTATTCAAAAACATGTTATCAATCACTAACCACTAATTTGAATAGTGAATCTACATGTAATGAAGAAAGATTAATCGATTGGTTGTATGTATGTTGTTTAACGTTCCTTTCAAAAATCTTTCACTCATATGGAGATGCCACCATTTGCAGGTGGAGAGCTGCAAATTTTGTCCTATAATCGGCACTCAGGATCATTGAGCAATGAGGGATCTTTTTCGTACCAGCACCCTCTGTGACATGGTACCTCGGTTTATACGGTCTCATCCAAAGGACTGGTCACTATATCCCACATGGGATTCGAACCCGCGACGTAAGGATCAAGTGTAATGAAGATAGATATTGCTTGTTGACACAAATGCATATTGTGCTTGTCGTTTATTTTATAATGAATGTCTGCATGCTTGAATTATTGTGCTAAATACTTTTTGGAACTTTATTTTAATATTCATTGAAAAACAATCTCTAAGAAGAGATAAAGGATGCATATTCAGTTGTGTTGGCTGAAAGAGTTGATGCACAAGTTCTCACAGAAGCATAAGTATTAACAAAGTAAGTTTTCAATAAACCAAAAGCTCAGAACAGAGGAAAGTTTTTAACACATGTAAGCCAGTGAATTTTCAAATCGGGTTCTAATGACCTTTTTCATTATTCCGGGATTATTTCAAGCTTCCTGGATTATGTGGGGTTTCTTGGTTTGCTGGATACTCTCAGTCAGTTCATTTCCTGCGTCGCGCAATTGTAATTAATGTAAAGGGGGGAAATGAAAGCTTATACACTAGAGACTGTGCAGATAATGTTAGCCTATTTTAATGACTTCAAAGGAATGTTTTTCATTATATGAGTTTTGTGATGTGCCCCACATGGATAAAATAAATGCCTAAAGAAAGTGTAACATGCAATATAGCAAGATACCAACCACCTGTCTCTGGTTTGCTAATGCCTTGTTGTTAGATGGTGAAAAAACGTAATGAGGAAATCGAATTTTTACATCGTGTTAGTCCGAATTTAAACGATATTTTGTTTTCATTTATTTTAGAGTCGATTAACAGAGTTTACTATTTTTATTAGAGATATACTATTGTCAATTACTATGTGTTCATTAAATCATTGTGCGAATATTTAAAAGGTTAAGTAAATTTACTTGTTTTAACGATCTATTTTATACGTTTTTATTAATTTGTGTGGGAGTGTATCTATGCGTTTACATAACTATTACGTCGTTTACAATTGTTTTCTAATGAGAGATATTCTTTTTGAATTCGTTTTAAATATTCAATGTCTTGTAGTTTATGTTGAATTTATCTCACTAGTCAAGATTTTTTTGTATTATCAAAATATCCTGTTTTTAGTGTGAAATAGGTTCCACATTCAACTGCAAAACACTGATGTTTATTGAATTTTCCTCCATTTGCCCCTGCTTTTGTCTTTTTGTTACATGATGCCATAAGAATATGTGTTGTTATTAAGTTCAACTCTGATATATCCTTGCTAGCTCAGCGATTGAGAGTTTATAGTCAAAATTGGAGTAACTTTTTTTTGTTTTGACTTACATGATTTTTATAGTTATAATTGTAAAAAAGATTTTTTTTTACTTTCAATGCAAAGTGATTATTTTAGAGAGCTGCAATGCCACGAGGTTTACAAAACTATTTATCCTGATAGATAGATAGACGATGAATGACGAACAAAAAAGCGTAAAAACTCAATAAATGTTTTTTAACCAAAACTTTTATGGTCTATTGATATATTTAATGTATTTTACTACTTTCATTTTTCAAACGATTTAATTTGTTTAAAATAATAAAAAAACATATTGTTTTGTTTAAAAAGTATCAGAAACCGCTTAAGCTATAGAAGAAGAGTTTTGAATTTATATTTGAAGCGTGCATTAAGTTGCCCATGATCGTGTTCCTTTATATATTTTTTGGTGATATTGTGCAATATTTTATCTTATTTTGCAATACAATTGTTTACAATCACGATTTCTTGTAAATTTAGTTCTGATGTGCCATAAAATTAATTTGTCAAATTTGTTAGATTTTTTTGTTAGAAAATATCATTGTGACTTTTTTATTTATCATTTTAATTTATGGTATCTTTTAATAAATAAATGAATCAAATAAAGAAATGTCTAAGTAAAATGACTTTTGTAAAACATCTTCCCAATTTATCCACAACTAGTAAAGGCTAGTAGATATACATAGAGAAAGCCTAAACTGTACATTTAGAAACAGCAAACTTTGTTCATACAAATTGTTAGGCCATTATTTATACACTGAATGGACGACGGATTAATCCGTTATTTTTAATGCCAAGGAGCACAAGGCGCGTGCGACCGGTCGACAGGGGACGCTCACTCCTCCATGGCACCTGATCCCACCTCTGGTAATTTGGAGGTCCATGTTTGCTCTGCTCCTGATTTGTATTATTTTATGGACTTTGATATTGAATACTGTTCGTTATCTCCATCATCCTTCATTTTAAATGAACATTTCAGAGGGAGTAATGACATTTAAATATGGTTTTTTAATATAGTATTACTGTATTTGCTTCAAATAGATTTTTGTTTTCAGACTGATTTGATACGCAAGAACAAACTCTACAAGAACAAAATTTATAAAACGAGGATTTGAAGCTGATGAAACATAGATAAAATAGACTCATTTAAAGTCAACATTTATTCTAGGGTCAATACAATGACCTTATCAGAAAATATCATGTATGAATAGGTTTAAGTTTTATCGACTTTTCTTACAAATTGTTATACCAATATCTCAAAATTAATTGTCTACGGATTTTTATTCGTTTTTTCTGGTAATATCAAGAAGAACATGTTGGATGTGACCGGTTCACAGTGTATACTTACTCCTACATGCCTTCTGATCCCACCTCTGGTGATTTAGAGGTCTGTGTTTGCTCTCCTCCCTGTCAACCAGTCCCATCTCTTATTAAGTCGATCGAATGCAAACTGAAGTTTTTATATAAATGGCAGCCATTATTTAAACAATGAACTGTCAAGGGATTAATTTTTTTGTCTGTCCGTTTATGAAAAGAAGCATACGCTGGGTGGGGCCAGTTGTCATGGGAGGCTTACTTCTCCATTGCACGTGATCCTACCTCTGATGTGCTCCCAAAAAGAATCGTTTAATAAACTTTTGAACTTCTTGTTAACTATTCATCATCTTTATATTCTATCTAAGAGTACGTTTTGTGTATCAGGCATCCGATTAGTAAATACAACCGATTACAACAAGATTCCGGCACGAAACCCCTAAACAGTAGTTAGCTGTTCTATTAACACATATATCAATCCTGCCTGACCGACCAGCAAAGCTACACAATAAACATGCTTGTTCCACTTGTTAGACTTTTACTTGCAATCCCAAGAGCGTACACAACACCAATATATCAGTCTGGGAGAACTACTAAGAAGCCTGGTAGCTTAAGTGAAAGAACACTTATGGAAAGAGTTCTTACTGGAAAGGTTTTCTCATTTTGACCTTTATGTTCATAGGTAATTTTTAAGTATCCATAACCTTATCTTTGAAACATATAGCTATATATTGACTAATACACAGTAACTATATTTCTTTGAACAAATGATCATTATTTCAGAATCTAGGATTTTTTCAAAACTAAATGATGAAAAACGTTATTATCTATATAAAATTTGAAATTTCTCTCTACATTATTATTATAATTTTTTAATCATTATTTCATATACATATATATACATGTATTTTAGGATCCTTTCGAATCCCACTGTTGGACGTGGAGAGCGGTCCTTTGTATGAGTTCGTATAAACCGAGGACATGTGTCGCAGTAGGTGCTGTCACGAAAAAGACCCATCCCTGTTCATTTATCCCTGAGTGCCGAGAGTGGGAAAAAAATTGTAGCTCTCCACCGGCAAGTGGGTGGCGTCTCCATATGAGTGAAAAATTCTCGACACGGACGTTAAACAACATGTAATTAATCAATCATACATTTTAGGAGAATGCACTATATATGATATTTTATTACAATAGAGTATAGTACAAACACAGAACAAAATATTTACAACAATTTTATTTCAATGCATCAAAAGAAGAAAACACCTTTTGGAATGAAAAATTAATATTTCCATTGTGGATATCTTTTATTTGAGTCGCTATCTAATAAAAAGCCTATAAATATTCTTTTATAAGTTCACATTTGTTCAGCAACCGTCTAATTAGATATAAAATATTAATACAACAAATATTTCATATTGTCAATTTTACCCCGGAAGAAACAAAAAACTACTAGTTATTGTCTTTAATGAAAATCGTTTGTTAGGCTGAGATATAAGAAAAGACACTTTTTAATATGAAAAATGAAAACAACTCATATGCCATTACAAGTCAATAACTGTGACCTATTGACAACCTTTTTTATACAGTCGACTTAATATCTATGCATACAGTAATTTTTTTTAATTCTATATTCATAAAAAACTGAGCCACTTCCAAAGTGGCAACTACATGTAGGTGCCCGTCAAACTCTTTTTTCACATAAAAGTCATGTTTATCACAAAGCCACAAAGATTTTTAGATACCTTAAGTTTGTTATAGGTAAATTTCACCTCTCAGGTGAGATTTTTACCTTTGCCAAAAAAAAAATTCATGGGGAAAATACAGTTTGAAAGAAAAATTCTAAAGAATAATCAAAAAACCAGGGGTGTCCGGAAAAGTTGCCTATATTGAAAAATAATCATCATTTCGCACTATAAAATTTTCACTACTCTTTAGTACATTTTTCATCAATATACGAGCATATATGATGATTTATTTTCGAAACTCCTGAGCCATAAAATAATGCAAAAGAGGAGTAGAGCAAAAACGGACCTCCAAAACATTTAGAAGTGGGATCAGGTGCAATGGAGAAGTTAGCATCCCCTGCCGACCGGTCACATCCTCCTTGTCATGATCAGGAAATAACAGAAAAATCCGTTGTCAATTCAGTGTGTAAATAATGGACTAACATTTAGTATGAAAACGTCAGTCAGCATTTGACTCATTGATAAAGTGTTTCCTGATAATGTCATTGAATTCAAGAAATTTACAAATTTACGATGACTTTATGCCAGACTGCTGATATTCTTGTTTTATCAACTTATTTGTCAATAACAACATGCAGTGTTTATATAGTATTACATTAGTATTTCCTTCCTGACTGAAGAATTGTGTCAGGTCGATCGGTGGGTGGAGAGCGAGTGTCATGAAATATTTCAGCATATCTTTTTGAAAATTTTTAATTTTTACAATGTTTTTTTAAATTGTATTTCAAGATTTACACCAAAAATCAAAGAAGACCTGGACAGAAAGCTTCTTTATTAATGTACTACGCGCATTGATGAAGTTTTTCATCCACATTTTCTTTGAAACCCGGAATCGATCAATGAAAAAATATAAGATCATTTCTAAATGAAATGAGCTAGAATAATGACTTTTCAACAAAGATCTATAGATGTGAAGTGTATATATATACCCCTATTACGAGAAGACTAATCAGGATTTTTTCCGATATTTTTTGTGTCTGTAACTTTGAATAATAATCCATCTTGATTTATCTGTTCTTTTCATTCATTTTATAAGACCAACGACAACATAAATTTTCAAGGTAAAAGATTGACTGCTTGCTTAAAACATAATATTACAAGTGTTTTGGATGTTTATAAAAATGTTTTTTTTTTCTTTATAAATATGTTGTTATTTGATTGATTTTAAATGTGAAAGCTACATATTGTTGCATTTTTTAATGGAGCTCATTCAATTTATTTTTCTCAAACGTGAATTCAAGAATAGTAACAAAATACGAAAGACTGGCGAAAAAGAATGTAACTATTTTTATGTGTACTGATGAGTGAAATATGAAGCATCATTGAAATTAGAATACAAATGCTAGATAAAATTTACACTGATATTTTTGTCAAAAAATCCTTTCAATTCTTGTCTTCGTATTTTATAACTTAAACAGAAAAGAGGGCATTTTTATCCACCAAGTAAAAATGCTATTAAATTAATTCCGAAAATTCATTCTTTCGGCAGAAAAACCCAACATAATGATTATTGCTAGTGTTGTAAACAAGATGAGTAGGAGAACAATAATAAAGTAGAAACTACTTTAACGTATTATATAGGAATTTGTCTTCGGTTTAAAGACGAATAACAGCTCAACAACGCCCTACCTCCACACCGTCATTACAATTT